AATGAGAATTTACTAGTCTTACACATACATGTTAACCTACATTTGAACTCTGTATTGCTAGACAGAATGAACTTCCAATGTAATGCTTAGCATTTAATGTGATGTTTTTAATTGGTTGGTTTTTAGTGTTTCAAAGTGTTGTTTATTTATCGATGATATGTGCACACGCAGCATCGAATTGTTGCCTTTGTAAGGCCGTCCTGAGTCCCCTTCAGGGTTGAGAAGGGTGGGGAATAAGAAATAATAAATAGCATTCCAAATTCTTTTATATTCCTTCTATTTCCCCAATCATAGCATACTGAACTGACATTTGCCATGAGTTTTCCTCTCAAATCCTTTTTTACTGAGTGACCACAGCTAAATAAGATACCATCATCATATACAAAGATGGAATTGTTTGTTTGTTTGTTTTTAATATATGTGACTCATTTTGCACCTAATTTGAATTTACATTTCATTTTACTGGTATGGGAAATTCATATACTTGGGGTTTTTAATCTGAAAAATCTGATGCCATCTAAACCTTAGTCTGCTTCGCTCTTCAGTGGACCTGGAGTCCAGCAACATACAGAAACTTGCATGGAAGGAAACCTTTACTTGCTTGTGCAAAGATAATGAGGAAAGTAAACAAATGCCTAAGAGCCCTTCCACACAGTCCTATATCCCAGAATATCAAGGCAGAAAATCCAACAATATCGGCTTTGAACTAGGTTAGCTGAGTCCATACTCAGATAATGTGGGATTTTCTGCCTTGATATTCTGGGATATAGAGCTGTGTGGAAGGGCCCTTAGAAATAATAGCAATTACAGGTCAAAATCTCAGTGTCTTCTTCTGATGTGTCCCTTTTGCAAACTCGACAAAAAGGAGGAACTGATCAGAGGGACAGCATGAATATGTTGGAAGCAAACCACAGTCAGCCTTCAGTGTGTGAAGGGGTTTGCTTCCAGGCTGTCCAGTGAATACCAAAATCTATAGATGCTCAAGTCCCATTACACAAGACAACAAGTATTTTTCTTCAGATATTATTTTAAGTCATTCTTACAGAGTTTTTTTTTTTTTTGCGCTGAATTCAGATCTGTGTTTGCTAAAGCAGGGTATGCCTACATATCCTAGTAGTGATTGGCATGCGGTAAAGTCCTTTGGAATTTCTCCTCCTGAATATTTTTGAACCGTGGTTGGTTCAGCCTGTGAAAGCAGAACTCGTGGATATGAAGAGATGACTGTATATGGTCATTGAAGCAACCATTCATCCCATGCCTCTGCTAAAGGAGACTCCTCCTTTTCTGGCTAGCCATCTCATGCATGCATGGAAACAAAGGGCTCTTTATCATCTCCAGCAAATACTTGAGTTTTTTACAGTCATAGGCAGCCTTCTTTGCCCTTCAGGGTATACTATGGTAAGCAGAAAAACAGGTGGAGACCACTCTTGGTACCTATATGCAGAAGGTGGTGTACAGTGGCAACATACTTTGACAGATGGTGTGCTTTTTGGGAATTATGTATCAGTAGAAGGAGACAAATCATTCAAATAGACTACTGCAACGCACTCTATGTGGGGTTGCCTCAGAAGGCTGCCCGGAAGCTTCAACTAGTCCAACGTTCGGGAGCCAGGCTGCTCACGGGCTGGGTACAGGGAGTGCACAATGCCCTTGTTATGCCAGCTCCACTGGCTCCCTATTAGTGTCTGAGCACAATTCAAAGGGCTGGCTTTGGCCTATAAAGCCCTTAACGATTCTGGCCCAGTTTACTTGTCCGAACGTATCTCCCACTACGATTCTACGAGACCCTGCTCATTGTTCCCCCATTGTCACAATTGCATCTCATGGGGACAAGGGACAGGGCCTTTTCTGTGGTGGCCCCCTGGCTATGGAACTCCCTCCCGAGTGAAATTAGATCTGCTGCATCCCTCTTGACCTTCCGGAAACAAGTAAAATCCTGGCTATGGGATTAGGCCTTTGGAGAATAGGCTGACCTACTGACGCGTTGACTTATTTAGAACTGATGGGTTGCCCTTGGATAATGATTTAAATTGGTGACCACTGACTATTTGTTGTCTGTTTTTATATATTTTTATATTGTTTATACAGTTTTATACTGTTTTATATTGTTGTTACTATTACATTGCTGTTAATTGTATATTTATGTTTTGATGTGGTCGCCATGGGGTGCCACTTTGTTAGCAGTCCTGAGTCCCTCTGCGGAGGTTGAGAAAGGATGGGATATAAAAGCCCTAAAAAAATAATAACTTTATAAAATAATAATAACTAATAAAATAATAACTTCCAACTTTATGGTCAGAAAATGATCACGTAACTTGTGGTGGGTGATGAGGAGGCACTGGCTGTCAAGCAGCAGCTGCTGCTGGACAAAGCAAGAGTGCCACATCTTGATCTCCTTCACGTGGCTGGGGAGATCCGGGTTAAAGACAATGACCGCCCCGTGGGAATCCTTTGTCAGAGTCTCGAACTTTTCATCGCCACTGCAGTCCCACAGCTCAAACTGACATCCTGTCCTTTGCTGTTCCCGTTGAGATGTGGCTTCTCGAATTCAAGAATCCTCACTCCTGGCTCCTTGGGAGACACCGAAGACCTCCACTTGCCTCTTCCGTTGAACCGGCTGCAGCTGATCCATTCCTCCCTCAAAGAAGACCCCAAGGACATCCGGATGGAGTTCATCAAGTATCTCAAGAAAATCACCAATTTGGTGAATGAGAATCGAGACAAAGAGGAGATATCCATTATCGCTTAAAAGCAGGAGAACTATAGTGGTTGGATACAAAAAAGGATACTTTTTTGTTTTCAAATTTCCTGTTTTTGGCAACTTCACCGGTGACTTATTTTTTCTTTTTTGACAGACACTCCAGGTGCTCTCCTGTTCAATAAAACTGAAGCTGTGTGTGCATTTAAAAAGAAGAAGAAGAAAAAGAAAATGATCACGTAACTGTGCTGGTGGATCACAAGTTTCCTAAAGAGAATACCTCCGCGGAAATTTATAGATTCTCTAGCACAACTCTGGTCAACTTCCAGCAGGAATTTATTGTAAAGTCACAGTGAGGCTGTAGAGATTTGGAGAAAGTTACTGCCTCTACTAATTTGTATTTCATTTAGATTTTCATAAGAGTTTTGTGCCCCCAACCCCAACAAATGTGGAGGACTGACTGTATATGCACCACAAACTACTGTAAGACATTTGTACTTGTGTACATTAAATTGGTAAATGTTTACAGCTTCCTTCATATATCTAGGCTAGACGACCCAGCGTTATATAAACACAATAGCCAGCGCACAGTTATCTGAATTCAGTGGTCGTGGGTACATATTTTAATTTAGACACTACAAATACATAAAGAGATTGCAGAAAAGTTATTTTTTCTTGGTTTCTTTTCCCTGAGGAAGATATAAATCAGAGGTTTTGTGATCCTTTAATTGACTTTTTCAGGAAAGAAGTCTGAAGAACTGAGCAAATTATCTTATGACGAGATAAAGTTCTAGGCTTTGTGGTAAAATTAAACATTATCAAGTCACCGGTTTCCAATGTTACAATTCAAGTGTTCTTAATGAACTCAAATGTTAAATTATCTTAATATAACATTAAGATTGTGGCACAATGGGTTAAATCCTTGTGCCAGCAGGACTGCTGACCAAAAGGTAGGCAATTCAAATCCGTGGGGTGAGTAGGGTGAGCGTCTGTCAGCTCCAGCTTCTCAAGTGAGGACATGAGAGAAGCCTCCCACAGGATGGTAAAACATCTGGGCATCCCCTGGGCAACATCCTTGCAGACAGCCAATTCTCTCCCACTAGAAGCGACTTGCAGTTTCTCAAGTTGCTCCTGACACAGAAAAAAAATCTTAATAGTTTGAACCAAACAATTGGATAACTGCACTGAGTCCCCAGGGCAGGATAAAAATAAAGTAGTAGTAGTAGTAGTAGTAGTAGTAGCAGCAGCAGCAGCAGCAGCAGCAGCAGCCAAGATAACACAATTAAGAAATATCAACCTGGCTTGGTTAAAGTAGTGAAAAACATTTTAAATGTAAATACCCAACATACAAATGACTTGCTGAAGAAATATCAGAGCTTCTTTAAAATGAAATCCTGTCTTGCTACATTTCTAGATTTGCAAGTGAGTGTCAACAAATAAGTGGGCAGGCATGACCAACTAAATATAGATGAACTTTCACAAAAGTTGGCGTGACTAAAGAAAACTAAAGAAAACAACAAACAGCAAGTTGCCTTGAGTTTCAATTTTTGGGGAAGTAGCAGGATATAAAAAATTCCTCAACATGAATAAATTACAAAGTAATAGTTAAATCTTAAAAACTAATATGTTTCTACCTGTGATACTGTTGGCACTCAATTGACTTAAGTAGGGRGAGAAGAAAGTGAAATCTTCTCTTCCCAGTATTCTCAGGCTAAAGCAAACTGCTGCCTAGATTGTATCTTCTTCCTTCTCCCCCACCCAGGCATGTAGCTGGGGGGGGGGGGGCTGAGGGGCTTCAGCCCCCCCCCCAATTCTCAGGGTGGTCCGCAAGAAGACCTTACTGGTACGCGAGAAGGCCCATCCCTAACCTTTGTCATCTTGATCAGACTTGATGTTGCTGGGTCACCTCCTGTTTAGGTTTTCATCTATGGCATGCTCACAATGTTGTAGCCTATAATTGTGGACTTCTCTTTATTGTGACCCCTTTTCTAGCAATGAAATGTAGTACATGACACTATGTGATGTGTCTGGAGAAATTGTGTCACAGTGCAGGTTCACCATGTTTGTCCCTGTGTTATGAAATAAGGTGTTATGTCCACATTTTGACCTTTCCCTCTATTTTTGTTTGGTCCTGTCGTCTGGTTTTCCCAGGTCTACACACATATAGTAACAGCAATCTGCCTTACATGTGCTCCCTTCTTCCTCACTGTGTGTATTGTGTTTGGTCAGTATTTTCCCTTGAGAACCGTGGCTTTAGATGTGGGAGGGATCTGTGGGCTTCCTTGGAAAGACAGGGAGAAATACAAGGCTTGTGGGCGGGAGGACAAACCTTGGGTCATCTCATCTGCCGCCACCGTTGCCACCACCGCTGGTGCTGTGGTTTCCCTGCCCCTTGTACAGGGGCGGCTCCTGTTATGTAATATCAGCAGCCCACAGTGAGGCGGGGCACAGACGGTACAGCTCTGGCCACCTGGAGCGTGTATGGGAGTAGCAACGGCAGCGATGGAGGCACCCTGAAGGCTCTGATCCACCTGGCCTGAAGAGGGGAACACCGCTCACCTCTTGGCAAAACTGGGGGCTCATTGTCCTGCACATTCTGCGAAACTCTTTTATTCCTCTTGACCCCACCCCGATCTACATACCTGGCTGGTCATCCAGAAATTCCTGCAGGTAAGAGACTGTGCCGCTGCCTCAAAGGGCACCATTGTTCCTATGCCTCTTAATGGAAGGGGGGATAATTTCTGTCTCTGAATGCATGGCTAGGGAAAGGGGGTGAAGTCTGAAGTTGGAACAGGAGAGGCACACTGAGTGATTCACATTCCCAAGTGATCATTTAGAACTGTAGAGGCGGCTATTGCTTTTTGGGGGGCTAAGCATCACTTTCAAAACTTTCCACTGGACAGCAAGTCCTGCTGGAATGTGGTTTCTGGCTGTGGGGACTTGCTCCCTTTTAAGCCCCTTTCTCTTTGCTGTTTATTTCTTGCTAGACGGTTCTTAATCAGGCATCCTCAAACTGCGGCCCTCCAGCTGTTTGGGCCTTCAACTCCCAGAATTCTTGACAATTGAACAAGCTCATTAGGGCTTCTGGGAGTCGGAGACCCAAACAGCTGGAGGGCCACTGCTTGAGGATGCCTGCTTTAATAATTACAGATGGTCCCATGAACTTGTTGCTTATGTATTTTGTGTACTTAGGAGAAAAGATATCTTTCTCTCAACAATCTAGATCTAATATTGAGATATATAGGAGTAATATATAGGAGTAAGATGCATGAATGTGTATGTGCTTTCAAGTCAGTTGTTGACTTTTGGAGATCCTATGAATTTCGTAAGGTTTTCTTTGGCGAGGAATTTTCAGAGGTGGTTTTGCCAGTTCCCTCCTGTGAAATACAGTCTACAGAACTTGGTATCTGTTGGTTGTCTCCACCTCAAAGTATTAACTAGAACTGTGATTAACTTCCAAGACCAGAGATGATCTGGTGCTTTTGTGATATTTATGTCTCGATGCATAAAACCCACTATGAAATATGGAAAGACAAAACCAAGAAAATGTGTGCTTGTGTGTATCACTAAAGGCACCTGCGTGTATAGTCCTATGTGCATCCACAAGAAGCCCAAGAAGCTGTGATAGGAAGCAGTTGGAGCAGAGAAAAGCAACTGAAGGGGAAAAAATTGATTATTTGCAGAAGGAAATTTTTATCACCTCGCTCAGCCCTAGGTTTGATAATGCTGGGATTCATAACAAGCATGTTTATGAAGTCCTTTTCGCCTTGTATTGCAAGATGATTAGGAAATATTAGAGAACATCACTGACTTTCAGACTCATTTATAGTATTGCATAATTGGAAAATTTTGATTCAGGGTTCTGTATAGCAGGGCAACATCATCTCTTGTGAGCTATCCAGGGGCTAAATTTGAAGTCAAGGCTTAGTCCCCTTCCACACAGCTGAATAAAATCCCACATTTTCTTCTTTGAACTGGAATATATGGCAGTGTGGATTCAGATAATCCAGTTCAAAGCAGATATTGTGGGATTTTCTGCCGATATTCTGGGTTATATGGCTGTGTGGAAGGGTCCATGGACCCTAGAATCTGTTTTGTATTTATGCCAGGTAGTCTGAGGACATTGCAGCAGGATGGTGCAATGGCAGGAGCATTTAGTTTGTCCAGCCTACAAAACACCATGAGGTGCCTAATCTAGGTTATTTTGAATAATGACTAGAGGTGGCCACGTGGTGTATATGCAGTCATCTGTTGAGATATATTGCCATCTTTGCCAAAATACAAGGGATAATGCGTATTGGTTTATTCCACATTGGGTGTGAAAGTGACCAAATTATATTGTAATTTGGCAAAGTGGTTTTGTAGGTTTTATTTTTATTTCAGCCCAGAGGCAAAAGTTGTACAGAAGTGTGTGGGTTTTAAACAAAGCCTCTTTCAAATAATGTTCAGCCTCTTATGACCGGTAGCCAATTTTTTGGTTTTTTTAATCGTGTCAGGAGCGATTTGAGAAACTGCAAGTCACTTCTGGTATGAGAGAATTGGCTGTCTGCAAGGACGTTGCCCAGGGGACGGCCAGATGATTTGATGTTTTTATCATCCTTGTGGGAGGCTTCTCTCATGTCCCCGTATGAGAGCTCACCCGCCTCTCCCCGGATTCGAACCTGCGACCTGTCGGTCTTCAGTCCTGCCAGCACAGGGGTTTAACCCACTGCGCCACCGGGGGCTCCTGGTAGCTACTGTCCTGCCACTATTGGCTTGGCAAAATGGTGAAGAGATTTCTTTCACTATTCTGTTTCTCTGGTCGTCTAAGTGGCTGCAGATGTATGGCTTTTCCTATCAGAATTCACATCTTAAGGTTGTTTTGTTAAGCTAAAACATGTGCGGGCACACACACACTGAGCTCCTTGGTAGTAAGACAGGATGAAAAATAAAAGAGAGTATCTTCAAACGTATTTAGTGTGCCTTTTGTTAGCTCACCCACTCCATCCCCAATCTGGCATTTCCGACATGCAGGACGATTTGGGGTCTGGCATCTCCATTATTGCAAACTGTAGGAAGGGGAGTGAAACTTGTCTCTCCTCACTCCTGACAGATTATGGCAGGGATATCAGTATACCTCATGAAAGTTGTCTGCTTCCCCTAGTAACAGTGTTACTGAGTAGTAGGAGGTCAAGATGTGCAGAGAGCCCTGTGTTAAGATGAAAATTTTAATTAGATGGCATTTAGGTTTTTTTTTCCTTTCCTTTTCCCTGAACTGGTGCCTTCTGTCCTTTGAGTACTACTTAAAACCTTCTCTTCTGCAGTATAGTTTGCTCGTTAAGGTAAGGGTAAAGATTTTCCCCTGACATTAAGTCCAGTCATGTCTGACTCTGGGAGTTGGTGCTCATTTCCATTTCTAAGTCGAAGAGCCAGCATTGTCCGTAGACACCTCCAAGGTCATGTGGCCAGCATGACTGCATGGAGTGCCGTTACCTTCCCGCCGAAACGGTACTTATTGATCTACTCACATTTGCATGTTTTCGAACTGCTAGGTTGGCAGAAGCTGGTGCTGACAGCAGGAGCTCATGCCGCTTCCCGAATTCGAACCTGCAATCTTTCGGTCAACAAGTTCAGCAGCTCAGTGGTTTAACCCACTGTGCCACAGTTTGCTCCTTAGTGATGTTAAAATATCACTATGTCGCTCTTTCCCCTACCCTGGCTTTTCCTGAGTAGCAGCCAGCACCACATAGGAGTATAAGAAGCCACTTCATAGTGAATCGGATGGACATTGCTCCATCTAGCTCAGCGCTGTGTATACTGACTGCCAGCAGCTCCCCTTGGTTTCAGATAAAGAGTTGTACTGCCTAGCACAGAGATGTAAAGAAGAGACAAAGTCTCAGGGTGTTGACAAAGATGATTTTCATAAAATCGTAGAGTTGAAAGAGGCCACAAGAGTCATCCAGTCCAATCCCTGCCACACATGAATATGCAATCGAAGCACTCCCAACAGATGGCCATCCAGCCTCTGCTTTAAAATCTTCACAGAAAGAGATGTCACCACACTATAAGGCAACAAGCCTAGCCCAATGGCAAACAGCTCCTACTGTCAGGAAGTTGCCCCCAATGTTTGGAGGAACCTGTTTTCCTGTAGTTTAAATTCATTGTTCTGTGTCTTCTTCTCTGGAGCAGCAGCAAATAAGATCTCAATATATTTTCAAATATGTCAACATAGCTGCTATGTCAGCTCTTAACCCTCTCTGCTCCAAACCAAACATAACTAGCTCCCTAAGCTGGTTTCCGTATCTTTTACAATGTTTGTTTCCCTCCTTTGGTACATCTTGGCAATATTGTTCTTGACTTGTGGTGACCAGAACATAATGAAGTATTCCAGGTAATATTTTTCCAAAACAGAGCACAGCTGCACAATTACTTCCTTTGATCTAGACATTATGTTCCTATTGATGTAGCGAGAATTGGCTAACTGCAATAATAAAACTGTCTTTTTCAAAAACCTTTGGCTTTTCTATATATCCATTCTATTGGGTGTTGCTGCTTTTCTTTTTGGTGATGGCAAAGATTGGATCTCTACTACTAAGCCATACCCCTTCCTTCATCCTTGGCTGCCATATTATGTGGAATCATTAACTCATGCAACTATAGTCATCACTATAGCACAGTCAGTTTTAAGGTCCAACTCAGTATTTTAATGGTGTATTTCATATTGTATTTAATGATCTGGTTTCTAAGTATTTATTTGTTTGTCTTATATGTGAAAGGAGCCTCCAGTGGTGCAGTGGGTTAAACTGCTGAGCTGCTGAACTTGCTTACCGAAAGGTCATGGATTCAAATCTGGGGAGAGGCGTGAGCTCCCGCTGTTAGCTCCAGTGTCTCCCAACCTAGCAATTTGAAAACATGCAAATGTGAGTAGATCAATAGGTACCGCTCCAACGGGAAGGTAACTGCACTCCATGCAGTCATACCAGCCACATGACTTTGGAGGTGTCTACGGACAACACCGGCTCTTTGGCTTAAAAATGGAGATGATCACCAACCCCCAGAGTCAGACACGACTGGACTTAATGTCAGAGGAAAACTTTTACCTTACTTAGATGTGAAAGACCTATGGTCTAAGCACTGACTAAACTATGACACTAAGGAGGCATGTGCTTGATGGGCCAATTGGGAAGTATCAGTATAGGAAACTATCATCTTCCAGGACAGACTATTCATATGTTTAACTCTGTAATGTCTACTCTGAGGATCTCGATGGGAGAGGGCTTTCCCAACGCATGCTAGCCAAGCAATGCATCTATGAGATCAGAGTTAGTGACACAGATCTATTTCAAGGAATCTGCATATATTGGGCCCACATACCAGTCATATATGTTTTCCTGCAGCATTGGATTATTGCACTGCAGTAAAGTTACTTAATTGTCAATTCTTTCCAATTCTTCTTTTGCAAGAAGAAATTTTTGGACTGCAGTGATTCTGTTTTAAACTTTGAAGGTGTCATTCCCACCTCCCACAACCTTTTCTACTGTTGTCATGCTGCTGGGGGATTCTGGGTGCTGTAGTCTACAGAAGTAACTTTCCTCCACACACTATTCTAATCTCGTCTCTTTCAATCACTACTTAGCCTCAATAAATCCACAAGCAAGACATAGAGGTGATGCTTTTCCCATGTGCTGGGA